AGTCCAATCTGTGCAGACTCCACCTCCGCAAACATCAAAATCCGCACGTTCCTAACCCCAGAAACCACTAAACAGCTCATCCATCCCTCATCATATCACGACTCGATACTGCACATCATCCCCTCTTCAGTATCCTGAACACGGCTGCCAGACTATTCACCTTTCCAAACCGCTCTGTCTCGCCACCCCCCTCTGCCAATCCCTCCACTGGCTTCCGATTGCGCAACGGATCAAATTCAAAATCCTAACGCTGACGTACAAAGCTGTCCACCATACTGCCCAAACTACATCACTTGACCTAATATCCAAGTACCGCCACATCCCTCAGCATCCTCACAAGTCTCTAGTTCCCTGGTCTCCTCCTCCCTGCCCGCCTTTGCAGGACTTCTCCAGGGTGTCACCACCTATCTCTGGAACTCCCTGCCCCAAACCCATCAGTTATCACCTACTCTCCTCTCCTTTAGGGCGCACTGAGTCTCTCAGGGAAGCTGAGGATTGCTAACTTGCCTCCCTCTCACCCTACCACTCCAATCCCCCACAGCTATCCTCCTGTGCACCACCCCCCCTCCTAGTTGTAAGCTCGAAAGAGCAGGGCCCCTCGATCCCCTCATGTTTTGCATTGTATTGGTATTGTTCTGTCACATGTTCTGTCTCCTTTGTAATGTACAGCGCTGAGCGAATACTTAGCACTATTGGCGCTTTATAAATACTGTATAATATAATATTAATAATAAGAGGGATATGGGGAGCTGAGACAGGAGTCTCCCCACCTCTCCAAAGTGTGCTGGGTTCCATGGGCCCCCCACCCAAAGTGACTCCCGTCACAGTCCCTGCCCTGTCACCTTTCTTAATTGAGACAAGCACACACTATAGAGGGATATGCTTTGTTCGCATTTCATGTCTGAGGTTTGCAACCACTTTAAGGGCATCTGCACTTACAGTGTTCTCCCAGCTCTTTCCCTCCCCCAGAGTCCCACAAGTACCCGTTGAGCCTGCCAGTTACGTCCACCTAATGCCGTTTCCTGTGATGGGGTGGCAACAATGCTGCACTGCTCCTATGTTAAGAGCAGAGTTGCCACTCTCATTTTGGCTGTGCCTACTTGTAATACAGTGGGAATTAAAAAAAATGTTTGCAAGGGTGTAGCTATCAGCACCATCATTGCTAATTCACAAACTTATAGCTCTCTGTGTGGAAGCAGTGGTCTCTCTACAGACGTCCAGTGCTGAGCTGGGAGTATGAGTATTACTGATTGGGGAATGCTAGCTCTTATTCAGTAGGGGGCATTTGATCTCTGGCTGTTATACCAGAAAAGACTTTCCCCCCCAAAGTCCCACAAGTACCCTTTGAGTCTGCCAGTTATGTCCACCTAATGCAGTTTCCTGTGATGGGGTGGCAACAATTCTGCAGTGCTCCTCTTTTCAGAGCAGAGTTGCCACTTTTATTTTGGCTTTGCCTACTTGCAATACAGTGGGAGTATGAGCATTACTGATTGGGGAATGCTAGCTCTTATTCAGTAGGGGGCTTTTGATCTTTGGGTGTTATATTAGAAAAGACTTGTCTCGTACGATCACTCCTTATTTCTGTCATGGCTTATAAAATTTTGGCAAATTTGCAAAAAAGAAAAATGAGACCATATGATATCATATTTGAAGTACTTTATACAAATGATACTTCAGGCTACATTGACACTGAGCTGAGCGTTTTTGAGGCGTTTTTGAGCAGTTGTTTTTAGCAGATTTGCAAATATTATAGGTGTTTTTTCAGGTGTTTTTCATTTTTGCTATGGCCAATAGAAATGGAAATAGCTGTTGTTTGATCCACAAATGCATGGAAAAACGTTTGAAAAAACGCTTGAAAAAAAATTGCTCATTCCCTCTGTTCAGGTGTTTCCCATTCAAGTCTATGGGGACAAAACGCTCAGATCTGCCTGAAAAGTAGCAAAAGTACTTTTTTGAGCGACAGGCATTTTGGTACAGGCAACAGAACACAAAGTGTGAACAGGGGCCATTGGAAATAATGGAATTTTACTTGTAGAGCGTTTTTGAGCGTCGATCTTCGAGCCGAAAAACTCTCAAGTGTGAATGGCGTCTCAAGGAAGTAGAATTTCATCCACAGGAAGACTATTAAAGTGGAAAAAAAAAAACTCCTTTTTGCATATTTTACGTACAGGTAAGCCTTTCATAAAGCTTACATGTAGGCACTGTAAATATCTCCTAAACGTGCACTGTTTAGGAGATATTTACTCTAGAAGCGCCGGTGATGTCACCCAGCGCATGCACACTGCGCTCTCAATGGACGGCGTGCCATCCATTGAGAGAGTCATGCCGCGGCTGAAACTCCCTTTGCGCATGCGCAAAAGTGATGACATCGCGTCCCAGCCAATCAGATGGCCACAACTCATGAACCCAGAAGGAAGACCGGGTGAAGATGGAAGCCTCAGGGAGCCGTAACAGAGCTCCGCTGGAGGGCTTCGTTTTCAGGGCTTCGTTTGCGATGCATACTACCACATTATGCTCTTAGCTTGCAGGAAGAAGATTTTTTAGAATTTTTTTTCACGCTTTAACCAATTCCATTCCGGGCAATTTTACACCTTCCTGCCCAGGCCATTTTTCAAGTTTCAGCGCTCTCACACTTTGAATGACAATTGCGCGGTCATACAACATTGTACCCAAACTAAAATTTTATCATTTTCTTCACACAACTAGAGCTTTCTTTTGGTGGTATTTAATCACCGCTGGGGTTTTTATTTTTTGCTAAATTAACAAAAAAGTCCGAAGATTTTGAAAAAAAAAACAAGTTTTTCTTTGTTTCTGTTATAAAAGTTTGCAAATAAATAATTGTTCTTCATAAATTTAGGCCGAGATGTATTCTGCTACATGTCTTTGGTGAAAATAACCCAAATTAGGATGTATTATTTAGTTTGTAGGAAAGTTATAGAGTTCACAAACTATGGTATAGATCTGAAAATTGATCAATCCTGAATTACTGACAGCCAATCAATTTCTTGAGGTACAAGAATGTCAGAACAGTACAGATATCCCCCAAATGTCAGGACAGTACAGATATCCCCCAAATGTCAGGACAGGACAGATATCCCCCAAATGTCAGGACAGTACAGTTATCCCCCAAATTACCACTTTTTTTGCAAAGTAGACAGTCCGACGTACTTCATAAGAGGCATGACGAGTTTTTTGAAGTTGTATTTTTTTGTCATAATTTTTCGGAAAATGAAAAAATAAAAAAAAAATTATTTTCACTATTTGTTTTTAACATACTGTCACCAGTGCAGTACAGCGTCATCATATAACTGGCATGGCGGTGATCAGGGACACTGACTGGTGACAGTGTGAAAAAAAAAAATATATATTTTTTTTTTATTTTTAGTTTTTTAATTTTTTTTTTATTTTTAAATTTTTTATTACATTTTTTTTTCTTTTTTTTAAGATTTTTTTTTCATATTTCACTATGTCCAAAGTAGTATAATTTTACCATAGTAACATTGTACTACTTTGGGGCAGTGATCAGTATTTTTGTTTTTACACAATTTGCTTATAGCAAAGAATTACTTTGCTATAAGCAAGCATTTACCTGAATGACATCGATTCATTCAGGGTTTTTTTTTTTTTTTTTTTTTTTTTTTGCTTAGCTGTGATTTGGCCACAGCTAATCGCATGACATGTGCATGTGACCTGCTGTGACCATTCACAGCTAGACACTAGTATACAATGGATGGCATGAATGAAGCCATCCATTGTATACAACTGTCATGTGACCTGCTGTGATTGGTCACAGCAGGTCACATGGTTCCAGCAACAGGGGCCGGTACTCAGATCTGTCATCGGCCGTGTCCGAGGTACACGGCCGGTGACAGATCACGCCGCTGCGCGGCTCTGCAAGCGCGCGAACTGCGCATGTGTGGGAGGGACGCCATATGGCGGCCTCCCGGAAAGCTAATACATTTTTACGGACGCCATTCGGCCATAGGCCAGGCGTCAAATGGTTAATTAAACCCCCTCTCTTGCCATAACCCACAGCTTCCCATTTTAATGCATCTTCTTTAGCCTATTTTGCTTGAGGTGATTGTAGCCGTATTAGTGCACTTGCGACAGAAACAATTGAGTACTGACGTGATACTTTTTTTATTTGCACTAACATAGAATTTTGAGGACAAGCTTTCGGGGTATGTCCCCTTCTTCATTGGTTTCTTCCAATGGAGTACTGCCCGGACCTTGAAGAAGGGGACATACCCCGAAAGCTTGTCCTCAAAATTCTATGTTAGTGCAAATAAAAAAAGTATCACGTCAGTACTCAATTGTTTCTTTAGCCTATTAGACACTTTCATTCTCGTATCTCCACCCAAAACCAAATTGTAAGTTTATGTTGCCGTTACTCTTGAATAGATAGGTAGTGTTCATAGTTAGAGGTAACTGAGCTGTGAAGGTTATCCCTCGGCGGTGGTTCTGTAAATCTGTAAAAAGTCAGTCTGGTGGAATCTGCTTCTGTGTAGGAAGTCAAATAGTTTCCAATGTTTAATTGCGGCCAGTGGCCGATTATATAACTATTAATAGATAGAGAGGAATTTCTTGGTGTTATTTATGGGAGGCTGCGTGTAGTGGGAGGTTAATCAGGATCTGTTCTATATTATAAAAATGTGTAGCTGTATGTTCTTATCAGTACTTCAACATGAGTCGGAGCAAATATGGCAAACCTTTGATCCTGAATTAGGAGCATTACGGGAAAACGTGGCCTACTACAAGTCTTGAGTTGGCACGGAATAATGGAATACTAATTCTGGCCCCAAAAGTCATCTTCTTTCTCGAAGTGTGTTTATATAAAGATACCCTGTCACCAATTTAAAGGAAATTGCAGGTTTTATACAGTTATAGTGCCCAGGAAAGTGTTTCTATGGAATAGTCTTGTGATTTCAAGGTGAAGTATGTTGGGTATGAGACAATAAGTAGTAATGCTGATCACTTTTTTTTGCTCTTCTTTCCTTTAGCAGACCAAAGCAAAAGAGCTCCCCTTGTCTGCAGTGAGGTTTATGGAAGAACTTGGAGAGTGTGGATTTGGGAAGGTCTACAAAGGTCACCTGTACCTCCCAGGAATGGACCATGCTCAGCTTGCTGCCATCAAGACCTTGAAAGATTATACCAATCCGCAACAGTGGTCTGAATTTCAGCAAGAGACCTCCCTTATGGCTGAGTTACATCACACCCTATTGTGTGTCTTCTTGGGGTTGTAACTCAGGAGCAGCCAGTATGCATGTTGTTCGAGTACATGAACCAAGGAGACCTGCATGAATTCCTCATTATGAGGTCTCCCCATTCCGACGTTGGTTGCAGTAGTGATGAGGATGGCACAGTTAAGTCTAGCCTTGATCATGGAGATTTTTCTGCATATAGCTGTGCAGATAGCAGCTGGGATGGAGTACCTTTCAAGTCATTTCTTTGTCCATAAAGATCTGGCAGCTCGAAATATATTAGTTGGCGAACAACTACATATTAAAATCTCTGACCTTGGACTTTCTAGAGAAATATACTCAGCTGACTATTACCGGGTACAAAATAAATCTCTTCTTCCAATTCGATGGATGCCCCCAGAGGCAATAATGTATGGAAAATTCTCCACCGATTCGGATATTTGGTCTTATGGAGTGGTTCTTTGGGAAGTTTTCAGCTTTGGTCTTCAGCCTTACTACGGCTTCAGCAATCAAGAAGTTATAGAGATGGTCCGAAAGAGGCAACTCCTTCCATGTTCTGAAGACTGTCCTCCCAGAATGTATAGTCTGATGACAGAATGTTGGCAGGAAATTCCCTCTCGGAGACCGAGGTTCAAGGACGTTCATATGAGACTAAGGTCATGGGAGGGACTTTCAAGTCACACAAGTTCAACTACTCCTTCTGGTGGTAATGCTACAACTCAGACAACGTCTCTGAGTGCCAGCCCTGTTAGCAACCTAAGCAATCAAAGATATCCAAATTTGTTTTTCTCTCCCCAAGGTATGCCACAGGCCCCAATTACTGGCTTTATTGGGCCTCCTATACCTCAAAACCAGAGATTCATACCAATCAACGGGTACCCTATCCCACCAGGATATGCTGCTTTCCCTGCTGCTCATTACCAACCACCAGGGCCTCCAAGAGTCATCCAGCATTGCCCGCCTCCAAAGAGCCGCTCACCAAGTAGTGCCAGCGGGTCAACCAGTACGGGTCATGTGACCAGCTTACCGTCTTCCGGATCCAACCAAGATGCCAACATCCCTTTGCTATCCCATATGTCTATGCAAAGCCATCCGAGCAGTATAGGAGTACAGTCCTTTGGATGCAAAGGGAACAAATCTTACAAAGTGGACTCTAAACAGTCATCGTTATTAGAAGATTCTGATATTCACGGACATAACGACTCAATGATTTCTGCAGAATTGTAAAACTCGCATTGCCTTTCATATGTACTCTATGCAGAAAAACAGACCTAAAAGAAAAAGTTTTATATAAAATATTTTTTATTGAACTGAGGTCATTCCAGATGTTAAACGGACATTTTTTTTTCAGGTACCTTCTGTGAAGTTCAATTATATATCTAACAAACGGACCTGTAACCAGATCGAAATTTGGTGACAGTGACTGGTTCATTCCTTGTACTAGGAAGACACATTGTACAAAGTGGCCTATGGCAAATCTAGGCGGTGTTAACACTTTAGAAGTTGCCGCTTTCATATTTTGTGAACGTTCATCAAACAAATAATTTTTTTTCATTGTGTGCTATGCATTTATTAATAATAAAACCAAAGATCATCACTGAATTAAAACCTTTAAAGGACTTAAAGAACAACTATAGCTAAACAGCTACAACAGTGGAAACAAATTTATAGGCATTTACCTTCCAGATGATTGGTAGACGAAAGCACATACTTTTTGAATTACCTCCAATGTGCTACATAGCCGAATAGTATGAAAAAGGTCACAGCAGTTTTCCTATTCTCTGCCACTGCCCAGCCTTTTGTCAGCTACTTTGAATTTTAGTGAACTGACTGTGCCCAGGTAAGAACCTTCCTCTAGCCCAGTGGTTCTCAACCTGTGGGTCGTGACCCCTTTGGGGGTCGAACGACTCTTTCACAGGGGTCGCCTAAGACCATCGGAAAACACATATTTCCGATGTGTAAAGAGCAGCTACTGTGTAGAAAACAGCTGCTGTGTTGAAAGCAGCTACTCTGTTAAAAGCAGCTACTGTGTTGAAAGCAGCTACTGTGTTGAAAGCAGCAGTATTGGAGGTAAAACGACACTCATGAATTATAATTACTGGGTAAATAATTTTATGGTTGGGGGTCACCACAACATGAGGAACTGTATTAAAGGGTCGCGGCATTGGGAGGTTGAGAATCACTGCTCTAGCCCATCATTTCCAAAACTGGTCTTTAACTTTTGGACAGGCAATGGTTTGATCACTTCATATATTATAAATATATATCACCTCTGAAGTTGCTTGTATCTCTACCCACCTCCCACAAAAACTACTCCATTATTTGACAATTCTATATTCTACACAGCCCATTTTGGAGGGTGACTTGAGATAAATAAATGCAGCATATGATTCAGCTCATCAGTAACCACACGCAACTTTTGTTTTGTTTTTGTATAGAGTAGGGAAGGTTTAGAGCAGTAGTCTCCCAAACTACAGCCTGAGGGCTGAATGAGGCCCTTTGCATACCTTTATCTGGCCCTTGGAGCACTATTCCTTCCACAGATATGAGGATCTTTTCCTCCCACTGACACCAACATTGGGGCAATAATTCCTTCCACTGACACCAACGGTGGGGCACTATTTATTCCACTTATAACAATGATGGGGCACTATTCCTCCCGCTGACACCAATGATGGGGCACAATTCCATCCACTGTTACCAATGATGGGGCACTATTCCTCCCACTGACACCAATGATGGGTCACTATTCCTCCCACTGTTACCAATGATGGGGCACTATTCCTCCCACTGTTACCAATGATGGGGCACTATTCCTCCCACTGACACCAACGATGGGTCACTATTCCTCCCACTGTTACCAATGATGGGGCACTATTCCTCCCACTGACACCAATGATGGGCACTATTCCTCCCACTGACACAAATGATGGGCACTATTCCTCCCACTGTTACCAATGATGGGGCACTATTCCTCCCACTGGCACCAATGATGGGGCACTATTCCTCCCACTGGCACCAATGAGGGGGCACTATTCCACCCACTGTTACCAATGATAGGGCACTATTCCACCCACTGGCACCAATGATGGGGCACTATTCCCCCCCTCTGTTACCAATGATGGGGCCCTATTCCACCTACTGTTACCAATGATGGGGCACAATTCCATCCACTGTTACCAATGATGGGGCACTATTCCCCCCACTGTTACCAATGATGGGGCACTATTCCACCTACTGTTACAAATGATGGGGCACAATTCCATCCACTGTTACCAATGATGGGGCACTATTCTTCCCACTGACACCAATGGTGGGGCACTATTCCACCCACTGTTACCAATGATGGGGCACTATTCCACCCACTGTTACCAATGATGGGGCACTATTCCACCCACTGTTACCAATGATGGGGCACTATTCCTTCCATTGACACCAACAATAGGACACTAATATTTCCCCTAATACCAAAGATGGGACATTGTTAACTCCCCACTGACCATGGTCAAGCCCCCCCAAAAGTCTGAAGCACATTAAACTTGCCCTTTGTTTAGAAAGTTTGGAGACCCCTGGTTTAGAGCCTTTGTAGGGTTTTAATTGCCTTTTAGCAAAACCACTGGAACCCCCCCCCCCCCCCCCCAAGGGGATAAATGGGACTTTAAAGTATACCTTCCCAGTGTTGTACATTAACCATAACAGCATAATATTATACATAAAAAGTGATTTTTATTGGACACAAAAGGTAAACTCCAACATTAAAACATAAACTCGATCTAGACATATAAGCTTCTGTCTACACATTTTCCCGCTTCCTCAGGACATTTATGGAAGCTTATATATAAACACCTTGCTTAGTGAAAAATATGTGTTTAAACTTATGAATTGAAAATAGAGTGACCAAAGTAAATAAAATAAATGAGAAAACCTGAATACAAACACAAACAACAGATTCAAAATGTAGATGCCCTAGCGTGTTGGCGCACCCACATTTCATCCATGGAAGCGGTTTACATGTCAGAAGACTAAGAAAATCCATCTGGAAACAAATTGAGATGTACTGGTCCTTCTTTTTCCTCTCCCCCCTTTTCTAGCCGTATACAGGACAGGTGGGGGGACCTGGTGGTAGCACAACTATTACAATATGTGATTTTGAGGTGGGCGTTTTATGGATGGTGTATTTCCTTCCTGAGGGTAATAAGTTTGGATAGTTATATAATTTATTGGTGGTTTTTGTGTATCAGTTTGTTTTCAGATGGATTTTCTTACTCGTCTACCATATAAACAGCTTCCCTGGATGTCCTGATTAAGCAGCGTTTCCGTGAAACGCGTAGACAGAAGCCTACAGGTCTGGGTCAAGTCTTTAATTCCTCATTTGCATGGGTTTATGTTTTAATGCTGGATTTTATCTTTTGTTTCCAATAAAAATCACTTTTTTTATATGACATTATGCGATTATGGTTGGTGTACAACACTGGAAAGGTCTACTTAAGTTCCATTTATCCCCTTATTGTGTTTTTCCCGTGGTTTTGCTAGATGGCAAATAAAACCCAACAAAGGCACTAAACCAGGGGTCTCCAAACTTTCTATTCTGCCATCAGAATGGTACTATGGGCATCAATTTTTTATGGAGTGCCCCATTATGTAAAGGATATGTGCAGTTTTAGTGCCACCTCCGCTCCCCAAATATTTTGTAGCAAATCATACCAACCTGCAACCCCCCCCTTCTCTGGGATCCTTAAATTAGCCATACATGGATCAAAATTTGACGGATTCAGCAAGGATAAGCCACATTTTGATCCATGTATGGGCAGGGTGATCGTACAGACGTCGATCTTCTGTACAACCACCCTGTCAGATTTTTGCCAGACAATCAGCACACTGCAGGCTGACAGTGCTGATCAGTTTATCCTGATGGTTGGGACATCTCCCCCCTGTCAGAATAGAAAGATACAGAAGAAGGATTCCCCTATCCACCTTGAATGTGCCTTTTTTTTTTCTTTCAACCTACTGGTTAAACAAAAAAAAAAGAAATAAACTATGGGCTGCCTTGTGGAATAACAACAAGGGAGAGTGAGGCCATATATATTACAGGCCTTACTGTGTGGCCTGCCCAGAATCACACAGCCTCTCTTCTGAATTTTGCAAAGCACTACCTGTAAATGCATATCATAAACTTCATTTGCTTGGATGGAAAGCCCATCTATAGCCTGTCTCTAAGAGATATTGAGGGAGGTTGTGTGGTGTCTGGTTGTTAAATACGCAAATTTTCCAACTCTGTATACAGTATCTGTAGATTTGACAGTTCCGGTGTGAATGAAGCTTGCATAAACTGTTAGTCTTCATTCATGAATGCATTTATTGCTACATTGTATTTTATTTAGTCACTCTGGAAGCTCCAATAAAAGAAGAGGGGGGAACCGATCACCATATTAAAAGCCTTACAAACATTTATTTATCTATTCAGTCATCCATGAAAACTCATGCCTTCATTTTGTGAGCATTACTTGGTAGGAAAGCTAATGATCAACAACTAATTTTGTCTACTATAACCCCCAAGACTTGCTTTTGAGATATGTGGGTATGTTTAGGGTGACCATTCTCAAACATGGTTCCTTGGAACCCTAGTTCCTCCAGAGGTGGCTAGGAGTACCTTGTGCTATGGCTTACTGACCTCCCGTGTGATGGTACCCGCATAGTTCTAGGTCCAACACAACTTGCCAGAGCCAGCGGAATTACTCTAAGGCAGTGGTTCTCAACCTGTGGGTCGCGACCCCTTTGGGGGTCGAACGACCCTTTCACAGGGGTCCCCTAAGACCATCAGAAAACACATATTTCTGATGAGTAAAGAGCAGCTACTGTGTAGAAAGCAGCTGCTGTGTTGAAAGCAGCTACTCTGTTAAAAGCAGCTACTGTGTTGAAAGCAGCAGTATTGGAGGTAAAACGACACTCATGAATTATAATTACTGGGTAAATAATTTTATGGTTGGGGGTCACCACAACATGAGGAACTGTATTAAAGGGTCACGGCATTAGGAAGGTTGAGAACCACTGCTCTAAGGGCACCATTCTGACCACCACTGTAAGAAGGGGTTTTTTTCCCACTGACCACCTCCAATGTAAGTGACATTTTCCCAATGACCACCAATGGACTAATCTTAATAGGGATTCCCTGAGACCTGAAAATTACTGCACGGGTTCCTTTGGGGTCACAGATGTTGAAAAAGGCT